TTTTGGGGGGCGTCTGTTTTTTTTTTTTTTTTTTTTTTTTTTTTTTGCGCTATCAGCAGCCGCCCCTTCCCCTCCCCTACGACTATCTGCGCGGTGGCAGCGTCCGTGCGTGCCGCTTGACATATAATAAGCTGCGATATGCTGATTGGCACTCAGGTTGCCACCGCTTAATTGTGCATTAAAAGGAGAGGTGGCCGCGGACAATGTTGCCTTGATGGGAAATTGACATTTTGTGACCTGCTTCCCGGTGCGCGCGTAGGACGCCAGATAAGATGCTCTCTTGTTTTTAGGGAGAACTTACCCCCCCCCCACACGCATACACACCCCTAAACACTCCCCTCCCCTCTTGTTTGACCCACTTGATGAGTATAGATTTCACAGTGGTCCCCCCCCACCCCTCTTCTTTCAGCTCGCAAACTATAAGGAGTTCAAAACGATTGCGGCTCGTATAGACAAAGGATAACCTTGCGCTTTCAATGTATTGATTCTTTATTAACTAGGTGGCTTAATGCAATGAAATGAGGGATTTGACTGAGCCCCGTTTGGGGTGCCTTGAATAAGAAGCGGCTGCTGTTTATGAATGGCTACAATGAGGCTTTGAAGCGGCAGGAGGATTTCAATGTCAGAGCGCTGCGTCGACAAGAGTGGGAGTTAAGAGCAGGGGTTTTTTTTTTTTTTTTTTTTTTTTTTTGCTCCATATTTTGCGGAGGTTAGACTTTTCCACAGAACGACGTCATCTCAGCTGCGCGCCTCGTCCTCCCGGTGGTCCGTTTGAGTGGTTGCTCGCGCTCAAGAAGTCCACAGTGTTGGGGCAAAGCGTGTTTTTTTTTTTTTTTTTTTTTGGTTTGCTTTTTGTTTTTACTGCAAAAATTTTCATAAAACATCAATTTTCCATTCCAAATGTTGACATTTTTAATGTTTCTCCCCCGTAAACACGCGTAAGCTATGTGGCAGAGTCATAAGTGGTGAGTAAAAATGACTTCTTTACATTCTACAAAACAAAAAATAATACAACCACAAATGGAGCCTGTTTTTTTTCTTCTTGTTGTTGTTTTTTGTTTTTCAGATTTTTATCTCCAAGTTGTCCCTCATGCACATTAGTCTCTATTGGATCTTAACAACTATCATATGGGTCACAAACAATTTATTTGACAATACAACCAACAAAGTTTTCTCCAAAATGGTCTGTATAGATAATTTAAAATCAATATAAAAATAAACAATGAAGTTTGACTTCCCCTTTAAAAAAAAAAAGAAAGAAAAAAGAAAAACTGGACAAGAGAGTCTTGACGGAGTAACACAAATTTTTGAGAATACACATGAAATATATGCACATTGCATTTCATCAAATACAACCAAAAAAAAGGAAACAAATGAAGGCAACATTTCTTGGCTGAATTATCTGTGCTGCATCACTATATTAAGGGCAATGACGATTAATACATACATAATGAAAAGCAATATACAAAATTTCCGAGATAAATACATTATTTATAGTTGATATGTTACAAAATTTCCCTCAGTGAGCGCAAGTGTGTGTTGGAACAGAAATATGACAATGAACTACTTCACGCCTACATTCTCGATGGATTTGCTTTTGGGCTTTTTTTTTTCTTTTTTTTTTCTTTTTTTTTTTTTTTTTTTACACTTTTTTTTTTGTGTGTTGATCTAAAAGAACATGAAAAAGACAGATGTATAAATATTTAGCACAAGTTTGGCAATATCACAATAGTCTACCATTTTTTTTTTGTAACCACATATAAAACACATAAGGGAGTTGGAGCTATAGAAGGGAGAGACTGCTCCTCATCAACAAGAAACAGACTTCACAGTAGCCTAGGAATGCATTAATATACAGTGCTAGCAAAAAAGTTGAAAAACATGGCAAAACACACTTGCTTAAAAGGAAGCTCTAGACATGGAAGTACATCATATTCATCAACAGAGCAGTGTTTTGTACACATCAGTGTGCTTGTTGAGTCAAAGAGAATTTTTTTTTTTTTTAACCATTTGAAGATGATTTTTTTTTCCCGAGCTACAATAAATTACAAAATTTAAGTTAAAATGCAGGAATGAAACATGGTACAACTTCAAAAAAAATCACATTTAAAAATACAAAAGAAGTCACATTATAAAGACGCACAACTTCTGTGTGTGGATCTATTAAAAGAGAGTCGGAACAGGAAGAAAAAAAGAAAAAGAAAAAAATAAAATAAACAACAATTTTCTGAGGCAAACAAGTTCATTGGCAAATGTACTGTACATCAGTGTTTTTTTTTTGTTTTGTTTTTGTTTTTGTTTTTTTTTACTGTACAATGGCGAGTCCACAGAGTCCCTTCCAGTATTGAACGTGTGGTCGATCGGACGGATCCAAGGCCGAAGCGCAAGCCGACAGGTATACAAAATAAACCCTTCATCATCCTGTGTCCTCGTCAAGGGTGATGGAATGAGGGGGCGGGGAAACAAACAAAACAAAACCGAAGTCCCACAGAAAAAAGGAAAAAAAAAATGCGCTTCCTCGTGAGATCCTTTTTCTTCCGCGGGGGTTGTTAAAGTCATTTTGAAAAGATTCAGAACGAGCAGTCGAACTATACATGGCACAAGTGCTTTTTTTTTTTTT